TGCCTTATTAGATAGACTCTCAAGTATTTTTTACATTCTGTAGTATATTTTGAATTGAATTTTTCTTTATCTTTCTGCTGGGTTTTGTTGGTAATATTCTGAAATGCTGATGATTTATGTGGATTTATTTTTTGTCCTGCAACTTTGCTGAATGTATTTTCATTTAATTTTTGGTCAACTCTTTTTTAGAGTTCTTTAGCTAGGTGATCATATGATCTGCAAAAAGTGGTACTTGCTTCCTTTTAGCCTAAATCTTTAGTCCTTCAATTTCTTCTTCTTGTTATTTTGTGTGATAGCCAGCATTTTTCACACTATGTTAAATTACACTGGTAATAACGGACATGGTTGCTCTGCCCCATCTTATTGGAAAGGCATCTAACCTTTCTCCATTACAAATAATGTTCACTCTTAGAGTTAGATAACTATTACTTAGCACGATAAGAAAAAGTTCATTTATTCTTATGTTTTCTAGAGTTTTTTTTTTTAACAGAAACAGCTGTTGGATTTTGTCCAACAAAATTTGGTACCTATCAACATAATCACGTAGTTTTTATTTTTCTTGTTATTAATGTAGAATATTACATTGATAGCTTTCCTTAGGCTGAAACAACCCTGCATCTTGGTATAAATACAAATTGATCATAGTATAAGCCCTTTTCATGACAATTTTAAGCCTATTATTTTATGGTGAGCTGTAATAATGAAATGAAATCTGTAGTTCTTTGTAAAAGCTGTCATTTTGACAGATGGTCCAGTACAGGTGAGTAAGGACCAAGTACAGGTTCTTGACTACTTCTATTCTAATATATAGACTAAAGAAGATCTGGTCTTTTAGACAAATTCTGTTTCAATAAAATAATCACACTACTAAAACATTTATTTTCTCCTAATTGAAATTCTAATCTTTGTTTAGCACATGAAATAAAAAAGCTGAATTTTTAAAAAAAAAACAGCCAGCTGATTTTCATCACAGTAGCAGCACAACACAGAGACTGTCTGTTCCTTCAAACAAATCTTGCGAGCCCAGGGAGCACCCAATGAAAACCTTTTATTCTACCTGGGGTCTACTAGTGGTGAATTATAAGGGTATAAGACTAAAGATGGAACTCATATCTGCTTTCTGATCAAAAAGAGAAGCAGGAAATCCAAGAGTTTCTAGCAAGATCGATGCCCAAAATGAGGACCCAAAGGAGCTAAGAAAGACCTGCTGTTTCTATTTCAGTGAAGACAGATACCTAACCACCATAGTAGATTACCATAAATTTTTAAGATGTCTTGTAACTTTTTATTTTAAATATGTTTCTCTGTAGCTATTATAATTTTTTAAAACCCTTAGAGGAAAAAGAAACCTAAGGAGGCGGGGGGGGGGGGGGGGGGGTTTCCCTACTTGTTTCAAAAACACGGGGGGGTTAGGTTGGGCAGTGGATAGAGCACAGCCCTTAAGTCAGGAGGACCTGAGTTCAAATCCACCTCAGATACACAACACTTACTAGCTGTGTGACCCTGGGCAAGTCACTTAACCCCATTGCCTAGCCAAAAAAAAAAAGGGAAAAAAAAAAAACAAAAACAACAAGGCAGGGGAGTAGTTGATAACTTGTCATTTTGTTCCCAGGAGACCTGGAAGAGCTGGAACTCAGATGTAGACTAGGTGATAAAGACAGAAACGAGCACACTTGCAGGAGAGGAAAAAAAGGGGTGGACATTAACAGGAAGCAAATCCAGAACTAGTAAGGGTCTCAAGATTCTGCTGCCCAACACTGACAGTTCATTTACTTGCTAATACTGAAATGGGAGAGCAAAGGAAAATCTATCTAATGGAAAGGTTTATATTTGTGTCGGTGACTTTCCTTGGGTCTTTCTCATTTTTCTGTATCTTTCTTCATCATTTTTTGTGACCTCTGTGGCTTTTCTCTCTCTTTTTATCCCTCTTCTGTATGTAAGAAGTTATAGCTAATTGAGGCCCACTGGACCTCTGTCTCTCACCATAGCCCTCTGGGCAATTCTGAATCTTCAGATTGTGGTGTTCCATGATTCATAGCCTTACAGCACCACCAGAAGGATACTGATGTTAAACAGATTTGTTTCTCTCACAGGGAAGTTTGAGATCACTGAAAACAATTCACACTTTCTAAAAATCAAACAAGCATTTATTAATCACCAACTATGTGCCAGAGATACAACAAAAGTGAGGCAGACCTTGCCTTCAAATTTATATTCTACCAAAACAAAACATGTTCAAAATAAATAAATATTATCCAAACAAAAATAGAAGGAGGGAGGTGTTAACAACTAGGTGGACCTGGAAAAATCTCTTGAACAAGGCTTCCTGAAGGGAGCTAGTCATAATCAAATGTGAAGAAATGAGGACTGAAAATATTGCTGAATTACCTAAAAGTAAGTGATCGCTGGTGACCTGTGAGTATAATTTGAGTAAAGCTGTAAGACAGATTACCACAGATTAAGGAATGAAGGACTAATGAGAAAATAGCGACAGCATAAGAACTCCAAGCCATTTCACACACTATTATTCTTAACTCCATTTTATAGAGAAATACAGAGATTAAACAATTACAGGCTCCGCTTTTTACTATTTCACTCATTCGAGACTGCCTGATACCTAAAAAAACAACCCAAAAAACTATTTACTTCACGTCTCATAGTCAATAACCCTTCATTCATTAAATGGTACCAGTTAATTCCTGGACAGATGCAGCTAAAAGAGCAAGTAGTCTAATACAGTGATATGCAAGTTCCAGACATGCATTGCATTTAACAGCAAGGGCTGCCTGTCACCTTAGCTTCCAATCCATTAGATTCGACATGTATAAAGGCAAGCCCAATATAACAGAGACTTGGAACCAGAAGCCTTAGGTGTGAGTCTTTAATAAAGCACTCACTAGCTATGTGATCCTACGCTAGTCTATTCACTTTACTAAAATTCGGTTTTCTTATGTGTAAAATGAGGACTAATACTTGCACCACTTTGACATTTTTTTCTTCATCTGAAAAGAAGCTACTTTAAAATGTTTTGTTTTTTTAATTAATGAGAAATAAGAAAGTTCTAGAATTAGGCCTCCTTTCCCACTTTGGCTAATATTTATCATACTGAATTCTCCCAACACAAACTACTGATGCCTCACTCTACATATCTAATCAGCTCCAAAGTACTGTCCATTCTACCCCCATGACATCTACAGAATCCTTTCCCTTCTCCCCATCACCCAAGTTCAGACCCTCATCACCTCTGCCTGGATCATGCAATAACTTTCTAATTGATCTTCCTACCTCAAGTCTCTCTTATCTTCAAATAATCCTCCATAAAACTATAGAAGTGATATTCCTAAAGCATAGATCTGTTTGGCCTTGTTAAGAGTCCTGGTAAATAAACTCCCATGGCTCCCTATTACCTCCTGGATCAAATACAAATTCCTATTTGTTATTTAAAACTTTTCAGAACTGTCCTCCAACTTACCTTTCCAGCCTTGTTCTAAATCACTCTTCTTTGCATTCTTTAATCTAACCAAACTGAAACTTCTTGCTGCTCCTCCTCACACAAGATAAACCATCTCTTTTCTTCATGTTTTTCTGTACGCTACACTGTATACTGCTCTGCCTGCAACACACTCCCTCCCCACCTCGGTCTCTCAGAATCCAGTTTCCTTCAAAGAAAAAGCTCAATCATCTCCTCCTACATGTGGCCTTTCCTGAACCCCACAACCAGCTGCCAGTGAATTTTGTACATGCATGAATACATACTACCTCCCCAGATAGAATGGGAACTCCTTGAGGGAAGGCATTGTTTTGTATCCTCAGTATATAGCACCACGCCCGGCACAAAGTAGATGCTTAATAAATGCTTGTTCATTTTTCCCTAATAGGAAAAAGCCCCAAATATCCAGTTTCACACACAAACTAGGTGCTGTAGAAGTGATATTTTTTTTTAAACTTAAATACAGTTCGACATCTGTTTGAATACGAGGGAGTTATTTCCATGTCCCGTCCCATTGTCAGCGTTTCCTTGATCCAACAACAGCAAATATTAAACAAAAATCCTGTAGAATAACAGTCTGCTCCAAAACACACCATTGTTTTGGCATTTTCTAGTTATGAAGTAACATATCTTTGAATGCCAAGTCGGACAGTCTTAAAACTTTATGGGACTGAATAAAGATGGCTGCGTTATTGCTAGGGGGAGGGGGAGAAGGAAAGGCTCATGAGAGGGGAATAAGAAGGATTTGCTCACTTCAGTTTTTTCGTGCTATTTTTAAAAGTTTTCTACCAAGTTCAAATTCATCTTTGTTCCACAAAGTTGGCTGGGAAAGGGGCTTTGGCAGCAGAGGGATGAATCATGGGCTCATTTCCTCTGAAGTGGCTTCTTGAGTCTTTTTTCCTTTCTCTCCCCTCCCTTCACCCCCCCATCCCCTCCAAGGTGTATGTACAATTTAGCCAGACATAACTTCCAACTGCACTTCCCAGCCCTGTCAGGGAGAGTCAGATCACCACGATCACTTCCTTCCTCCTCCTTCTTTCGATAAGAGTTCGGGAAAAACCAGCCCGCCCCCGCGCCTGTGCCTATCCCTCCCTTGCGGAAGGGAGGAAAAGCCAAGCCAGGCCAGGGCATTCCCCGGGCGCCGCCGCCCTCTTCCTCCGCCTCCTCCTTCTGCTCGTGATCCTGGTCCCCAGACCAGGGGAAAGAATAGAGAGCGAGCGAGAGAAAGCAAAGTCCGCTTAGAGGCAGAGTGCACGCCGAACCCGTGGCGGGCCGCGCGGGCTCCGAGCCCCACCGGGGGGACTACCTGCCTGAGGATGGGACTAAGAACTATTTGGGGGACCCTGTCAGTACTCAATGCCCCAGGCCTGCCGTAAGGACTGAGGCGGCTGAGGCTGAAAACAGCGTAGTAAACAGCGACCCCACTTCTAGGAGGGGTGGGGGATTCTTCTCTCATACCTGCCACTAACTTTGGGCCCCTCCCTCTCATCCTGCCCATCCGCTCACTTACCTTTCTAACCAGCGAGAACCGCAGCTACCGCGCATGTGCAGCCTGCGCCGCTGCCCGGAGAGGAGACCACGGCCCGGAGAAAAAACGTCTTCGGGTCAGCTGAGAAAGTGAAAGGCGGCGTCGGCGACGTCAGGCGGCGTCAGGCGGCGTCAGGCGGTGTCAGCCTTGGCGCATGCCTAGTGAGAACCTGTTGGGCTCCGTCGGCGCATGCCCAGTAAGACCCGCTCGGCTTCATCCACGCAAACGCTTTTCCGGTTTTCGCTGGTTGGGGAGGAGGCCGAAGGGAGGAGCAGGTAGAGGAAAGGAAGGGAAGGATGGAAAAATGGAGAAGGCCCTAAGAAAAAGAGGGCGGGGCGGAGCCGAGCTGAACCGAACCCATAGAGCAGAGCTGGAAGGGAGCGAACGCAGTAGTGCATTGCTTCTTGTGAGAAAGGGACCCCTTCTTTTAACAACAGCCGCTGAAGAAAATGGAAAGCAGTTTGACCTAGCAGATAATACAATATACCGATAAAAATTGCAAATAGATACCCGCCCCAAATATCACATTTTTAAAAAAAAAATAAAGACCACAGAAGAGACATGCTTTTTCAAAATTGTGGGGAGAGGGGAAATTTCTTAAAACCAGGGATGTAGTAGCTCACCAAAAAGGCAATTTTTACTACATACAAGGAGCTGGCCTCTTAGGAAAAACTGGGTTCAAGTGCCATCTCTGACATTCTGGCTGTGTGATCTTAGGAAAGTCAACTGAGCTCTCTAAGACCTCAGTATCTGTCTCTCTAAAATGAAGGAGCTTAACTAGATGGCCTTGGAGCTCTTCTGGCTCTGGGTCAACGATCCTACGAATCCTATGAACAGTGGCTGGAAAAGACTGAGCAAGTTGCATTGCTTCTCAATAATCCGGGCGATTCTAAAACTAGAAATTGCAGAGCTTGTGCTGAGCTGCCTTGGTAAAAGGGAGTTTCCTCCCTGAGAGGTCCCTACAACAATGAAATCAAAGACACAGCCTAAAAATATTTTTTTAGGCTTTTGCTCTAGCAAAGTCAATAAAATTACAGTAGAGAAACTGTAAAGTAGGGGGGAAAGAGCTTTGTATCAAATAATCAAAGATAATAGTATCTCTCATGTATGGGGAATTGCCACCGATATTTGAGAACAAGATAATCCCTAATAGATAAAAGATATTAACAAATAGTTTGCAAAAGAATTGCAAAAATCTCCAAGGCAGTAATAATAAGTGCATATTAAAACTGTGGGGTTTCACATCATGCCCTTCAGAGTGGAAATAGGACAAAAGACAAAAACAATCCATGTTGGGCTTTGGGAAGACAGAACACAAATACACAATGAGTAAGATAAGTAAGTGGCCAATGGATAGGGACAGTTTTCAAAAGAAGAATTGAAAAAATTCTCCCAATCACTAATAATAAGAGAAATGAGTATTAAGATAATGCTGAGGTTTCACCTCAGGCCCTTCAAAGTGGCAAAGCTGCCAAAAGACAAGTTGTACATGCTGGAGGGACATCGAGAGGTCAGGAACACTAAAAGACTCTTTTTGGAGATACGAAGACAAAAAGTGAAACAATCCTGACAAGGAGTTGTGGGATACAACATGAACATGTATAAATATATACAAAATTAAATACAAAATAAATACAAGTTTGTTAGGGTCCTCAGAAATTCACGTACTAGAATGTCTCACATTAATAGATGGAAGCAATTGACTGGGGTTATAGTAGGGCCAATTAATCAATCAATATACTCCCAAAGAGAATTGCTATAACAATTGGGTTTGTATTTCTAAGATATATCCACCAAATTGATCCTTTACGTAGTTTTAAAATTTTCTTTCTTTTTTTAACCTTTTTAAAAAAGAGACTGGCTCTCCCTATCTCCTCCAGGTGCAATGGCCTCTCATCAGCATGGAATCTTTGACCTGCTCATTTTTTCAGACCTGGGCCAGTTCACCCTTCCTTAGACAGTTTTGGAGGCTCATCAAACTGGTGTAGCACTTACTGTAGACACTCAATTGGTTTTATAGCCTATTTCAGCTCACAACTCCCGAGCTCAAGTAATCCCTCAGCCTTAGCCTCCTGACAAGCAGGGATTGCAGGCCACCCACCCACCCAAATACAGTATATTTTACAGTTTGGATTACTTCCAAATATTCCTAATCCTTAGCAACTTTAATGCTTTCAAACTGTGCTTTCTGATAGCATTTCCCATAAGGCTGTTGTACTGTTTACGAAACCCAAATTAACTCCTTGACAAACCAGAGTATACACATTTGAAAGCTTATGACATTAACTTGAGGAGCCCTGTTTTCCAAATAAATATCTCTACTCTTTAATGATTCCTGTTATAAATCAATCACAGCATTCACATGAAAGAGTATCTAACATAATGTTATAAATGCCCCAAATAAACAGTACTTCTATATAATAATTTCCATACTTATACTGCCCAAAACCTATAAACATAGCACTAACATAAAACAATGTCATGGATTTATGACATAAACATGAAATAAAGCTTATTGCCAAGCTAATAATATTAATCCAGTTGAAAATTGAATCTCCTAATCATCTACAGGGAAACAAAAAAATTCATTCTATTCATCTACCAATTTTAGCAGTCTATGCTGATTGCATTCAGAAACTAGCATAGAGGATTTTTCCTGCTTTTAATATCACACACACAAAGGTGGAGCACTAGCAATCCCAAGCACAGATCAACTATTCCATGAATAGTAACTGTCCTCAATTAATCAAACCCAATATTGATGGAAAACCCAACATAAATGTACTCAAACCCAATATAAATTCAGATTTTAAACTTCTTAAATTTAAAAGTTGCTACATGATTTCAACTTCTTTTCTTTTCTTTTTTTTTGTTAGGCAATGGGGTTAATTGACCTCTCCAGATTCACCAACTTCTTTTCCAAATTCACAAGAATACTGTTATCCATGAAGTTAGGCTTTGAAATCATTAGAAATCTGAAAACTAACTCTCCAGGGAGTAAACAAGTGTTTCTCAGAAGGGAGTTTGCAGCTCTGTCGTAGCAATCTCTCTATCACTACTCTCCTCTTATCTCACTGATGTCTAAAAAAGCTTCATTTGTTTTTCTACTTAATGCAATCCAGTATTGGTCCCTGTTTAAGTGAAAAGTCACTTGTTCTATCTTTCTGATTTTGGAGAATCAGAAATTGAAGACACTAATCTGGACTTTAAATGAGTTTATACTACTGTATTCAAAGTTGTGTTTTTAGAATTTTCTTCTTTCAAAAGCATCTCTATACATTTCTTGGTTTTTTACAGTCGAGCTTCAGGTGTATATCTCATCAGTATAAAAAACATTTCATTTCTTTTAATTGTCTTGACCAATTTTCCATTTTGGGGCAGTCCAAAATCAGCCCTACTTTATTCTCCTTCCACCTTTGCTTCTGACTCTGAGGACTTGACGACTATGTCTCAGCTGCCCTTTCACCCTGGAATTTCTCTTAGTGCCTGAGGTCTTCTGGCCCTGATATGTCCCTGCACCTCTTTAGTCCCCTTGTCTCACTGGTAAGTTCCTTCTGGGGCCTTCATTTTAAGACAGGCCTAAGCCTGCCGAGCTTCAGGAACTGGGTTTTTTTGTTTTGTTTTGTTTTGTTTTGTTTTCTTTCTTCTATTAGTATCCCCAGGGCTAAGCACAGTGCCTGGTACATAAGTGAGCTCTTAATAAACTCTTGTTGCCTTGACTTTTTTTTTTTGAGTTATTAACTCTGTTTAACCCGGACTGCTGTAAATCACAGTATTGCATTTCTATTTATACTGATTCAGCATTTCATTTTCTTTTTAATACTGTTATTAATTTCTAAACATATGTTCTCTGCATTCAAATCATGTTTCAATATTATGTTTCAGATCAAGTTTCCTTTTTTTCCCCCAATAAATCATTTTTGCTAATTAGCACAATATTCCTATTCATCTCAAATTTAAGGCAAAAGTTTACTTTTAGGCAATCAGACTTGAAACTTTCAGTTTTATTGCCAGCTTCTCCTCACCAAAAAAAAACAAAACAAAAAACATTTTCAATTTGGTTTCTTCAACAAGAACTAGCAAATGCACGGTCTGTTCTAATACCTTTTAGGTGATTTTGCTTCTAATTTACCAGGCAATTAAATTCTGCCAAATCATTCAGAAGCTTACTGTGGTTGGCTAAACTCAAATCTTAATGTGAAATTTCACCTTTTTTAAAATTACTTACCCTTTTTTCTGAGGCAATTCCTTTTCTCCAGGCTATTTAAAAGGAAGCCTCCTTCTCTTCAATGTAGAGAGAAGAGGAAAGTTAAGGCAATACTTGCAAGACAGGGTTCTTAAGCTGCTAGAAACGGCAAAATTTTAAATTGTGAAGTGGTTACAAAGGCCCTTTTTTCCTTCACTTTTTTTGTAGTCAGTGGAAAGAAAACTCTTAAACTGGCTTCAGTTGTGTTAAGCATTGAGTATTTTTTTTTCTAAAGAGATTTCCACATAGACTCACAGAAATGACAAACAATCTGTTGCTAGCAAAAAAATCATTCGTTACAACCAAACAATCCATCGACTGCACTTTTTTATTTTTATATTTACATTTTTTAACACTGATTTTTAAATTTTGAATTCCAAATTCTCTCCCTCTGGTCCCTCCCCCACCAATTGGTAAGGCAAGCACTATGTGCACTCTTAATTTATATTAAATAATCCTTTTTTGGAAAACATGGTAGACAATTAATTTTGTCCAAGAACCTTCATGTTTTATTTCCCTAATTTATATTGTATTTATTATTTTTTTCTTCATGTTGATATAAATGCTGATTTCCTGGGACAGAGACATTTTTATATGTTTTCTTCCCCATTCTGAGCTCCCACCCCCAACTTTTCCTAAATTGGGCACTCAGTACTGACTTGGTGGTCTGGTCTGCATGGTGGAGGCTCTGTCGTCAAAGCTCACTGACCTGATTCCAGCTTCCATCCTTTAACAGGGAACCTGGTCTTTTTTTCTGGGAGAAAGGCATTGTTAGCCTTGTTTCCTATTCCTGAGGACTGACTGTTTTTAAAGTTAAGTTATTCTCAAATAG